AAGTAATAATAATAGTATATATATATATATATATATATATATATATATATATATATCTGAATAACCTAGAAGAAAACTATGGTTTATACAGTGCTGTTATACCAAATCATCATGATGTTTAAATAAATTTACAGCACATTTCCACACCTGAACATATCTGTAGTTGCCTGGCTTTCAGCTTGTAGCGAAGATCGGAAATGATGACTGAATCTGTCACGCAGGTAGTCAACTGCCTTGTTTATCTTCCTATAGGAGGCAACCACAGATTGACAGAGAAAGGGAACCATTACAATGTAAACATGAGCAGTTGCTTACTAGTTTGCCATGAAATTATATTTACAAAATACTCCTATTTTCTTAAAATATAAACAACAGAAAGAATTACTATTACACAACAGGGGATAAATGTGAAGATTTTAGGAAATGATAAGACTGTTTTTTATTCAAATATATCCATGCGGTTAAAATGAGACCATGCCGATGCATTTACGATATATTATACAGCAAGAAGAGAGCAAAACAGTTTACTCTAACACTTCTTACAGAAACATAACTAACAACAAGAGACTGTAGTAGATTTATGTGAACTACATAAAGTGAAAAAACAATGAATCATTCAGCCCTTTAATCCAACACTATATGAATCAAATCTGATGCCTACTTTGATATATCTCTTAAGAGACTTACATGGAGACTTCTTCCACAATCTACTACAAAATGATTCAACCATGGTGCTTGTTCTGCAATCCAACATCAAATGATCTAACCATACTGCCTCTTTAAGGCTATTGTTATTTTTTAATCCAAACCTAAATAGGTCAGTCATGGCATTTACTTTCTGACCTAACATCAAATGTGTTAGTCACTGTACTTATTGATTACATCAATGTTGAATGAGTTCACTAACAGTGCTTGTTCTTTGATCTAAACTTCCAAGTTATGGTAGTTATTCATTAAATAACATTGAATGAGTTCAGTAACAGTGCTTGTTTTTTTTTATCTAAAGTTACCAGTCATGGTAACTTTCATTACATCAACACTGAATAAGCCAGTAACAGTGCTTGTTTTTTTATCTAAAGTTACCAGTCATGGTAACTTTCATTACATCAACACTGAATAAGCCAGTAACAGTGCTTGTTTTTTTATCTAAAGTTACCAGTCATGGTAACTATTCAATACATCAACACTGAATAAACTAGTAACAGTGCTTGTTTTTTTATCTAAAGTTACCAGTCATGGTACTTGTTCAGTACATAAACGTTGAATGACTAAGTAATTATGCTTATTGTTTTATCCAACACTAAATTTATCAGCCATGACGCTTATTCTATGATTTTATATTAAATTATATGTTCATGGTTAGAGCTGGGAAGTTCTGTTGAATATCAATGTAATCGTTGCTCTGAACTTTTCAATTATAAACTAATGGAATAATCAAGTTAGTGTTTCCAATTATTTCATCAACTGATTAACCCTATTTGTACATTGCAGTGGGGGGTGGGGGGGGTGTATGTCAGAATATCATAATCTTCTTTCACAGTTATATTCACAATTTCACTAAATAACTTTATTATTAATGAATGCAAATAAGTGTTAATAACATAAAACTTAGTTTATTATTCAATGTTTTATATTATTAAAGTTTTAATTTCTTAATGTTGAAAGGAAATAGTTATATAAATAATTAATCTTACTTCCGTGTTTCAAGTGACACATTTACCCTCCGATTATCATATATTTTATTTTCTCCATTCCTTTCTCAGGCCATAAAAGAGGGTAACCAATCAGAAACTCAAACTATAGATATTGAGAGGTCTTAATACAAAATCTAAGTTCATATCTTCTCGAATTAAAATATAAATAAATATGTGACACCCGCCACTGAGACTCCTCCCATCTTGTTACAGTTTTGAACAAATCTAACTATACAACATACCCTTCCTTTATAGACATGTTTACGACTAACAGAAAGGTAATTCCTCTATAAGAATCTGCTAAATATTATTTCTTTTTACTGTACAATTCTATAGTTCACTTCATATATATTTCATCTTTTGTATGTGTGATCATTATTGCTGAGTGTCAAACAGGTGAAACTCTTAAACACATTTGTAGCTTACTCGGAAAGCCAGTTAAATTAGAGAAGTTTTAGGACATTTTAGTTTTTGTAATTGATAATGTCTTGTGTTCTAAATTCTATATTTAAAATAGTTTGGACCATCAAAATCATACCAAAAAACAGACCTAAAGTGCCCACGCTGCCCAATACCCACCTCGGATTGAAGTTTATACAGACTGGGTCTAGTCCAATGTTGTGAGCCTTGAACTGGAACTTACATAACCCAGGCCAAGGATGCCCTTTGTCCACCTTTGGAAGGAGCATACACAACCTGAGCTTAGTCCGATGCTGCCCACCTTGAGTTGGAGCTTACACAATATGGGCCTAGTCCCATGCTTCCCACCTTGAGTTGGAGCTTACACAATATGGGCCTAGTCCCATGCTTCCCACCTTGAGTTGGAGCTTACACAATATGGGCCTAGTCCCATGCTTCCCACCTTGAGTTGGAGCATACACAACCTGGGCCTAGTCTCATGCATCCCACCTTGAGTTGGAGCATACACAACCTGGGCCTAGTCTCATGCATCCCACCTTGAGTTGGAGCATACAGAACCTAGGCCCATGCTAGTCACATTGGGTTGCAGCTTTATAAAGTTCATCTCACTCCAGGAGAACAAAATGGGTGGTCTAAGACCTGACGTAAAGATACATCTTCAATACTTGTTGTAAGCATGGCACTTTCAGCAATCCAGATCTGAGTTCAGACCATAAAGAAATTAAAAACATGCAAACTTGGAAGATACCCAAAAGATATACTAGACTTTATTATCAACCACATCTAAACTGAAAGATCCGTCTAATATTTGTAACCCTTCCTTTAGTACACGTATTCTGATCTAAACCAACAATACTTTCCTATCCAAAATTAAAATATGTGATTAAAATCGGTGGAAATAAGGACGAGTGACTGACAAGACACAGAATGTTTAGCAGAAAATAAACATAAAAAAAACGAAAGTGCAATGCAAGGAATTTTTCCAAATTTTGATCTACATGATACAGTATACAGCTTCAGCCCGAAGTATAACCAAGTAGCATATCTGGTGACAGAAAATTTGGAAAATTATCCCAAGAAAATCAATACCAAGAGGAACACCATCAACAAGATAATATCTATACAGTCAAAACTAGGAAAGATGGAAATCAATGTTCTCTTAATTTTTTCAATCCATGTGCAGAATGAAGTTTTTTTCAAGGCAATGTGGGCTACCTGTTTTTTTTTAGGGAGGGAGGGGATATTTTTAGACCATCAACCCTATTGGATCATTAGGCCATTTTGCAATGCAACTAGTTGGTTTTTTTGGGCTCTAGGCCTATTGACTACCAGGGTCATTAAAGCCATCAAGGTGTTGATATTCCTCACTCTCACCGAGGATGTGCGTAGCTGGATTAATGAAGTGCGCGGCACCTGATTGGTTGTTGTTGGGTTTTTTGGGCTCTATGCCTATTGACTACCAGGGTCATTAAAGCCATCAAGGTGTTGATATTCCTCACTCTCACCGAGGATGTGCGTAGCTGGATTAATGAAGTGCGCGGCACCTGATTGGTTGTTGTGTGCCTCGCAGCTTAGAGGGAACACTGGATGGAAAAGTTATTCTCTCTCTCTCTTTAGCAGGTACCATGTCTGTGCAGAATGTTAGAGATTGTGTCCTTCCATAGATTCTTATCTTTTGTTGTTTGCAATATTTTTCCTATTGGCAAGGTCTAAAAATGTTCAAGTTCCAGTAATACAGCCCTTCCTGGTCCTCATCAGGATCTGAACAATGGTGAGATAGAACAACGAGAGGGGAACCAGGTAACTAAACACGATGGCTGGAAGAACCTTTGTGTATACCTAGCTGATATTAACATCTGTAAGTAAATCATGGTGACAGAAATAACTTTTGTGTTTAACCCTATCACCATGGGTATTCTTTACTGTGTATGACACAAAGTTTTAGTGTCCTACATTAAAAATTTTATTAAACTATTTTTTGTTCATGTTATACCAATTACTATAGAATAAAATCTTAGCTAATAATCCATATGTTAATAGTATACAAGTTCTTCATTCTACAAGGCAATATTTAAAAAAATCTTGAATTTCCCCTATTGTGACACATGTGACACATTTTCTCTAGGTATCTTCTCTTCTCTGTTTTATCCATCACCCCTCCAGTAACTATGAAATTAAATGTAAATTACTCACTATAAAATCGTCATTACTCAGACAAACCATAATTTTTATAGTCTTCAATATTGTTTGGTTACAGAGCTATCAAGTAGAAAATCAGACCCCTCCTACCACATCCTCTCTTTCAGGATTTTTTAATAGTTCTATCTTATGTATAATTAAATGTTACCTATAATCAATAGAAAGTCAAGGTTTTCATCTATCACATGACGTATTATATTACATTGTGTTCTGAATAGCATATTGTTGATTTCACTCACAGTACAAAATTAGTTCCCATGGGAATGTTAACGACTGGCTTGGATGAATTTGTAACGGCTCTTGTTGCGTAGTTAGAAAGCCAGAAACATTTTGAGAGTTAGGGGAAATTGTTTACTTTTGGTGTGGTATTATTCTATGTTCTTTGGTGCATTATTTAATTAAATAGAAATTATTTAGTGCATTACTACCATTAGTATAAAAAAAAGAAGACACAAAAAAGGCAAAAATGTCATTAATGGTAAAATAATAAACTAACGGATGATGTGTATAACCCAATAAGTCAGAGAAGAAGTCTTAAGGGAAGAAAAAACATTGCCATTGGACTTGAAAAGGATCAGTAGAACTGAGATATCAATGAACAGCCAATGTAGAACAAAGGAGATGAATTGGAAAAATCATACAGAAAAGAAAGGAAAGGGAGACTGATTGGAGAAAACGTCCAATTGCCCTCTTGAGCAGCCCGAAACATCAGGGAATAATATTAACCTGTCCCTTTGGTAAAGTGTGTGAGAGGTTTGCAAGGCAAAAATGTCACAAGTGAGAAGGAGAAGAAACTATGTCTTAAGATAAAAATCATAGAAAGAACAGATGGTCAACAATTTGAACAGGGAACATATGAGAGCTCCAAGAACTGTTCCAGTCTGGAAGATGAACCAGATGAGGAGAATAATTACTTAAGAAGGTCATGTACAAAACTATCCCATAACTGGTAAAAGTAGAAATGGGGAGAAGTTTAAGAGGAGAATATGTATATATAAAAAAAGAGAGATTAAACCAATCCAAGTTTAAAGCATTCACTGCCAGAGTTGCAGAGTCTTCGATTTGAAATCAAAGGAGTGGAAACTAGACGTTAACAAGGACTGGAAAAGCAGCAAAGAAAGGACAAACAAAATGGAGTCTTTAGAGACCACATCATGGGAAAGATCCAAACAAAATAGTTGGTCCTGTACACATGTATAAGCTCCTAATATATGATAGACTGACAACCAAATCTGGTAATAATGGACCCAAAAAAGAAAGTCTAGAGCAAGGAAAATAGGTGTCTTAAGAGCAAGTGCCTCTCTGTCTGTGGATGGAAAAACAACAGAGAAGGTGTCTAAATGGATCATTAACCAGAAGATAATGGCAAATTCCTTGAGCAGTTAACATCTCAAAGATGTTGATATAGAGAAACTGTTCCTCTGGAGACCAGGGGATGTATATGGTTGCATATTAGAAGAACAAGGGATTCAAAAGAAGACAGGGTCCTCAAAAAAAAAAAAAGAGACAAATCCAATTGGTATCAGAAGTTTAATGTCTCAAAAATGTAGAGGTGAAGGCTAAGCCCACTCCCACATATGAATTGATAAAGAAACCCCAAGTGAATGAGATACTGGGTGGGGGTCAAGATTGAATTGGACAGCTGAAGTGGACCTGACTGAAAACATACAGTGTCATAACCAACCCAAAGGGAAGAGATGTGAATAGAATATTCCACCATTATGTATGAACTGAAGGAAGATTAAGATGGGAAAACATATTAGGATGTAGAAAATACATCAATCCTGGTCATCCATATCCTGGGAAGATACTCTCCTCAATGTGTGTGAACCTGTCCACCTTGAACTGAGAAAAACCAAAGTTGGTTCAAGTAGAAGAGATTATGTTTTTGTGGAAACGACAAAAATATACGAGCATGACTCCAGACTGAGGTCGAGAAATTTTTCTATGGCATTCTAATGAAACAAGGTGGAGAGTGGAAGACCAAAAAAACCACTGAGAAAGCACATGAGTAATCCAGAAGTCTGCAGCAAAGTGGTTCCACATGTATACAAAATGGGAGAGCTCAGCTCCAATCAGATTGGAGCCAAGAGGTAGGTCCACAAATAAGTCACTTCTGAAGGCTTTAGAGGAAGATAAACCTGGTGGTCCCTTGGTCCAAAAAAGCATGAAAGCAGTGAGAAGAGATGACTACTGACAAGATGTATCAATTAAAGATTTCAAAGTAAAAGAAAAACCTCCAAAAACTCATCACAAAGTTTACAAAGTGAAAGAGCAAAGCTCCCACCAGACTGGAGCCAAAATGTAGCTCCAGGAAAACGTCACCTTCAAGACCCGCAACAGCCAGCCCACAGAGAGTAGGAATTTTAGATAATAACAAGAGGACTAGGAATAGAAAAGGAGTGACCCTACAAGCCTGTAAAGGACAACAAACTTGGTGGCCCTCTGGTCCAAAAAAAAAGCAAGAAACTAAAGTGAGCAGAGATGACCCACTGACAAGCTGTATCAGATTAAGATTTCAGAGTAAAAAAACATCTACAAAAAACTCATCATAACATAAGGGTGCAACAGTCCCCAAGAGACCTCTATGAAAGGAGAAAATGTCAAAAAATAAAGCATCTTAATGAAGTACATCCCAGAAACAAAGAAATAAAGTGAACTTGGATGAAATGGAAGAAGAAAAATTGATGACATCACGAGAAACAGGTAAGTGCAAGTTTCTCCAGAAAGCTGGAGTCATGATGTAAAGGCTCAGGAGTGTCAGAACCTCACGAGTTAGCAGAAATGTGGAAACATCAAGTGGTGATCTAGACAATCCAAACAACTATTATTTTTATTTATTTTTTGTTAGAAAAGTTGACCTGGTATATGTATGGTACATAGGTCTAGGTCACTGGTGTAATGACAAAGTTGAAACACATTCAACAAAACCCATATGCTGGTTTAAAACAACAGGTAAACATACTATCAAAGAAACCTTATCACAGACATTGGAACACATCCCAAAATTACAAATTTGAATAAAAAGAAAAATCAAATTGAAGATAATTCAAAATCAAAGTTCTCAATTTGGTAGTGTTATGACAGCAGAAGTCACGTTACGCTGCTGGCGCATTTCGCGCTGGTAGCGTGCGTGAAATTTCTTGAATGATCAGGGAGGCCCGAGTGTATTCGAGACGCCCCCTTCTTTACTATATAATCCTGGCAGAGAAAGCCTGCAGGAATGAATGAAGAGATTTCCAGGTAATTTATGATTCTGTTTCGAGCTAGTGTGTGAAGTTATCGAGATTGTTAATTGCTGTGATTTATACCGTGTATTATAGAAGTTGTTAAGTTTAAACTGATGAGAAACATACTGACTGTGGAATTACTGTGTACTAAAGTTTGTATTGAGAAAGAATAAACTGGGTTAATCAAGAAAGGACTTGTATCGCCGAAGTTTCTCGGGAAGAATTTATACCAGAAATTAACAAACAAGCAGATACGTAACAGTAGTATTACATTTGTCTTTACTTTAAGTTCTTATAATTAATTGTGATCACCAGTACAATATATAATAAGTTGTAGCTTTGTATATATATATAAAAAAAAAAAATGATGATAAAGCATTGTTATGAATCTATTAAATGTTTATAAACTGGGAATGCATTGATTTTATTAAATGCTATTGAAAGAACCTGACTTGTATACAGTGGCATCAGGTTTTGTAGCAAACTGTGTACTCTATTCATGCAGTTAAAGATACAAAATCTGCTCTCTAAAAACAGCAAATGCTGAAAATCATTTTTTCTCTTTCTAAATACCTTAATGGGGGATTTTTCTCCACACAAGGTGGAAAACCTCAAATATTTCCCACTCTTATATATATCCTAGGTTGTTCCCTAGCAGTGGAGATAAACTTTATTTCAGCTTTCAGTTTCCATTTAAACTCACCAAGAATATCATCTACAAATGACCTAACACTAAGACTGTCAGTCTTACAAACTCAGCTAACAATTTCTACAAAATTCAATCAAAATGATGCCTGAATAACCCAACACTAAAAAATTCTAGTTTCTAGGACATAGGTATAACTTGGTGTGCCACTTACATGTCTCCCAATGAGTGTAATAATAATAAGAAAAATTCCTTTGTCCCTGAAGTTAAGCTTTTTGCATGTAAAAACATTTAGATTCAGAAGCAAATATAAGAATGGAATTATTAAGGTACTTACGGCATGAAAGAACTTTCAGGGTATTTAATCTTCCCAGTAATGACACCATATAAGGATGGAATTATTGAGGTACTTACGGCATGAAAGAATTTTCAGGGTATTTAATCTTCCCAGTAATGACACCATCAAGCTGTTTAAGAGAAACTCGACAATAGTCCAGCAGGCGAAGAGCAATGAAATCGTATTTCAAACAAATGATGCTGTGTTCAGTCAGGAAAATCAAACGTTCCTTCTCACTGTCCCAGTGATCAATTCTATAAATAGAGATAAAATGACATTTGACTGAAATGTCCTTGTTAGTTTGTGGAGAGAAAAGATAATTTGCCGTTGGTTTCAGCAAATTATTATTTTGCGTAATTTAGTAACACAGGGTTCTTTAACTGAGTGGCCATAAGAGACAACCAAGTGGCCTGCCATCAATAGGCAAAAAGTTATAAAACAAAATAACTAAAATAAATATGGGAAAAAAAAACAGTAACAATGTAAATTAATTTGAAATTAAGATGCGTGTTTTATTTGTGTATCTTGCAGAGCAATGTGCACATGATGGTACCCCGTTCTTTATTAACATTATTTTATATAATATTTCATTTGTTTCTTAAAAATGTGCAGAGTAGAATGCTTCTAGACTGCCTGTTTTTAACTTTTCTCAATTTGCCCCCACCCCCAGAAATAGTTGAAAGAGTCCTGTAGTATGGTATCTAACAGTAAACAGAAAATGTAAAAAGTACTGTTCAAAAATCAGCTTTTAGTTTTTGGTTTTTAAATGCATCAAACTGTTTTATTAGTGAAATGTAAAATATCCAACCAATTTAATATTAACACAGTTGTGGCTAACTACTGTTGAAACTTATTTATGTGCTAAGATAAATAATTTCATTTGACTAAATCTCCGTCTACCTACTTTGGCAATCTATCAATGGAAATGGACTACATATCATCAGTGGTGTCTGAGGAGAGCCTTCAACCCACTTCATCCAACAGTTTCCATTTTATCATGTTTTTTGGCATAGATTTTTGAGAGACATTTGGCTTCTTCTACCATTGCATTATATAAAGTATTCTAAGCTGCTACGTTTCTATATTATAAGTATAGGAAGGTTTTGACTCTCCTGTGATTTCTCATCTCTTACGATCTTTTCATATTCTTCAACCCAAACGACCTTTTCAGTTGCCTAATTGAGACTTTTGGGTTGTTTTACATGCATTATCATGTCATTCCCTCGAACCTATGACCCCTGTTCATTATATTACCTTTCTCTCATGGTATATTTTTTTATTATTGTTAGCTCCCGGATGCTGCCATTCTGATTTATTTGCCATCCATATTCAGCAGGCTCTCTATCATTCCACCTATATTTTGCTCTATCCCAAAAATTCTTGCTGCCAGATAAGAAAATAAATCTGTTTCTTCTATTCATTTACCAGACATTTCTCATCTTTACAGATATTAATTGATATAACATAGTAGTTTGATAAAATTTTGAATGTAAGACACTAAAACTTTGTGTTGTGCACAGTAAAGGATACCTGTTGTGAGAGGGTTAACATTGTACAATGTAAAATCATCAGTTACCTGTATTCAACCCTACATACAGTGCATTAAATAATTTATTTGCAGGTTTTCATAATGTAAACATTTGAGAATTGACTTGGTTAATATTTTATTCAACAGCAGTTTTATGATGATTTTTTTTTGTTGCTTCTGAGATTATATTTTTATTGATTACCTTTACAAGTTATTAATTTGATTACCTTTACAAGTTATTAATTTGATTACCTTTACAAGTTATTAATTTGATTACCTTTACAATTTGTTAATTTGATTACCTTTACAAGTTATTCATTTCCATTCAACTCTTGCATGTTGCTGTATTATAAAATTTTTATTTATTCTGTAATTCACCTACTCTTTCCTTTCAGGATGGAATGTTAGAAAAGGCAGTGGAGCAATGCCGTCCAGTTTTACTTCATAACCTAGATGGAGAATTGAAGGGTGTATGGTTACTGACTGAGTTAGTTTCATCATTTATCGTGTCTATATATAGATGTATATTCCTTACTTTCCGTCAGTCTTTTTTACATATGGCATTTAGTAATTTTGTTTAGTAGAATCAGTGCTTGAGATAGCTAGCATATCTGTGTAAAATATGTATTATTTATTTTACACATTAGTTACAGATGTATTATCCCTGATACACTACAGTATGAATTTGTATGCCTACTGGTTGCACACTGTGAAAATGACTATTTTTTACACATTTACGTTGGTCTTACTCTTACGTTAATACCATCGATTTTCCGAACAACATTAGGACCACGGGGTTGGGTCGCACCCCACTCAGAAAAAATAGATAATAACTAAAATATGTCTATGTATATTTGTAAGTTGAGTATCTTATGACCAGTTTCATAGCATTTTGCTTATTTTTAAAGTATGGGTTGTGTTAATAGAGTAATAATGAAATTATTACAAAAAAAAATTTTCATATTTTATTTAACAAACAAAAAACATCATTCCAAAAATAAAGTAAATATGTTTTTAACGAAACATCTTCATAAGAGTTATTTTGAATAAAAAAACATCATTAGTTTATTAGCATCAGTGAAAATGCCTAATATTCTCACTTTCCATCCTCAATGTGAAAAAGAAAACATAAATAATTTGAAATTTCTTTAAAAAAAACATTACTGAGGAAAAAGTTCCTTCATATTTGGGATAAGTTAGCTCTATAAATACTAATTGAATCAAGAAAACAAAGAAATAAAGATATCCCAGAAATGCACCTTGATTTAGTACCATGGGGTATTTGTGTGCTGGAGCGAATACAAAACGTATTGCTTTCAACGTGGCTGAGGTAGAAATGGGAGGAACTAGGTGTGCACTCTATCAGAGTATTTGGGGAAGGTACCATGAACAACAACTGTCTCAGTGCTACAGTCACTCTATCAGAGTATTTGAGGAAGGTACCATAAATGACAACTGCCTCAGTGCTACAGTTTCTTTGTGACGATGTTAACAAACATACTTGGGGTTTGAAAACATCCCATGTGGCTAACGGAGGGTTAAAATGAAAGCAAGCCACAAATAGGAGTGTAACAATACATCAAACTATTGATAGCTTGAGATTATGAATGTCTTGATACCAATATATTGATGGCAAATTTTAGAATTTATAACAATTGCCAAAAGTACACTTAAATCTTTTTATAATTAAGAATAGGAACAATATATAAAATGTACAATAAAAATGTTAATAAGGCCACTGGCCCAAATTAAAAGACTGTTTTGGTAGTTGTATGCTACCATCGTGTGGTACTTTAAACTTATGTCATGTGCCAGGGGTCATGAATTTGGTAACAGATCAGCTTTCACAGCTCCATCGGATTCTTCCAACAGAATGGATGTTACATCAATGGATTTGCTTTCAGTTCGGATCACCATTGATCGACGCCTTTGCAACCTATTGAAATGCTCGCCTACAGATGTTCTGGTCTCCAGTTCTATGTCCACAAGCTTTCAGTCAAGACTGGATGGGGTTACATTTGTGCCTTTCCTCCTATTCGTCTCTTCAGTTCGGTTCTCTTGATAGCACCTTTTTGGCCTGCTCAGACATGGTTTCCTCTTCTGCGGTTGCTCCAGAAATCTTCACTTCTACCAGTACCTCTTCGCCCAAGCTTCATGCATGAAAGTTATGAGGTCCTTTGCCCGTCATAAGGGTCTAACTTCTAAAGTTTCCATTCGACCAAAAGATGGATGTTGTGAGAATGATCCCAATAAAGAAGGTCTGAAAACAAAGATCTTGAGAATGAGTGCTTCCCTGGTGAGAAAAATATGAGAGTTGTCTAAATGAATCATGACAATTTTTCAGTGCAAGAGAAGAAGACCTTGAATTATCACTCAATGTACCGCAAGAAGATCGATAATGTTGACATGCAGTGTAGTCTGTCCAAATACCCTGGAATTCCTGCCCCTGAAGAAAAGCACCTCAGCCGAGAAAAGATGGATTTCTGGACAAGAAGGTGGTATTTGATCCCCAATAGTCATGTTGTTCTTGTCTAGTCACCACTTGAGATCTGCAAAAGTGTTCTCAAGCAAAGAGACTATCTGGTTCAGTGAATTGATATGCATGTGAAGTGACCATTGAAGGGATCTCACATGGGCCCAACCGAATGGCAGGAGGGATTTTAGGGAAGCCCAAATCCCCAAAACAGACAGAACCATCCATGCAGTGGGAAAAGGTGACATAAGCAAATGCCTGACAATCCCTTCCATATGTGAAGTCTGAGGAGAGAAGGATGAGCCCGACACAAATATGTGTTGAAAAACACCCCAAGATGGACCAGGTATTGAGTTGATGAGACAATGGAGTTTCCAACTTGATAATGAAGCCCACATTTCTGGCTTCTGAAAGGAGAATCTGGGTATGTAGTTTGGCTACATGAAGGGTCGATGCCAAAAGAAGCCAATCGTCCATATAGTGATGTGTGCACAGATGCAGAAAATGGAGATGCAGAAAACATATGGTGATAAAGCAAGTCCAAATGGGAGAGCTCGGAACTGCAACGTCTGTTCCTCGTGCACAAAAATGTAGAAATCAATGAGAAGACTCTGCTATGGGGATGTGAAGATAGTTGTCTATAACATCAAACTTAGTCATCCAATGAAGTGCCATCAAAGTTGAGGAAAAGATTCCATGGTGAAACGAGGAGGCTGTAGGAAGTGATTGAGTTGATACAGATCAATGATAGGACACCAATTTCCAGTTTTCTTGAGCATCAGAAATAGACGAGAATAGATTCCTGGATGAATGGGATCGTCCTTCTCAATGGCTCGTTTGTTGAACAACCCCTGAATGGCCATGGAATGAATGTCTGCACATCCAAAGTCTGAAGGAGGAGAAAAGACAAACAGATGGGAGGAAAATGGAGGGGGATAAGTAAATTGAATCTTGAACTGCAAATCCATCATTCAGTGAACCCAAGGATAGATGTAACCATTTTACCCGACCTGTCCAAAGATCCCTGAGAATATGGACAGAATTGATTTTGTGAACCAATAGGAAAAGGTGTCGAAGGTGGGGGCCATGAGACACGAATGGTCAACCCTCCAGAAGTACCTGCTGGAGTAGAAAAAAGGCGAGCAGCCAATGATGAAGAAAAAGACTGCAAACATGGCATATCAATTTGGGCTTCTAAAGTTTCCTCCAGCAAACGAGTAAGTCCAAAGAGTCATAGTGGTAAACAGTAAGGGTCCCACTTCATTGTCAAATTGATGAGAAGAGCATTGATATGCTTCAGGCAAAAGGTGATGGGAAGAGAAGTATCTCAATACAGTAGTAAGAGGCAAATGAATCCATGAAAATTGAGAGCTGTTAAGAGTGATAACAGGTTCTAACCTGGAATCCCATAGATTCAACAACAGATCCAACCATTGAGTGTCCAAATATACATCATCCTGACAATGATAAGCCAGGGCATGTTGTTCTGATAAACAAGGGAGGCAAGGCATAGTCACACTCTCTCGTAATTGCATTGTAAACCTCCCTGCATGCACATCAATATGAGGGGAAGGAGGAAGAACTAAGTAATTCCCCCCCCCCCAAGATCTATCAGAAAACAAGGCAGGGTAGACTCAAAAGCAATGGGGTAAGTCCCAAAAACTTCACAAACTCACATAATTAACTGCAGAAAAGGGGCAGCAGTTGGCTGATCAGATGAGCCCTCAGTAGAGGCAGTCCTAGTGAAAGGAGGAGCAGGAAACAGTGTTTAAATTCTCACCAGGTTCATGATGAAAAGCCAACTCAGAATCTTCTGTGGAGACACCCGTGGGCCACATGAAGGACTCCACCTCACCCCAAATCAGGTCACAGACAGCCTCCACAGAGTCGATCCCCCCTCCCTGACTGCAGACTACCACCAGACAATAAAGGAGGAATGTCAGAAATCATTACATGGGAATTCATACCCACATTTTTTTTTATAATCACAGCAGAAAACCAACAAAATATTAGCAACAGGGAAAAAACAAAAAGCTGGTGTGAAGTTTTGCAAATTAGATATTGCCGAGGGCAGTCGAGTGGAGCAAGCGAACACAATGTTAGATGGCAAAGATGGAGATCAAGAAATAGCTATAAGTGTCAGTACAGGTATGTATGTTTTGGAATTAGTATTACCTAGTACATCATAATTCAAAGTTTTATATTATCTATTCCTTTATTTCAAAAGAAAATTCTAAAACAATAATTAAAATTTCAGTTTTGTTGTCACGTGACAGGCTTGTGGTTAAAAATATCTATGCTTTAGTTTCTTATATTTCAGCTATACTGAGTTTAATGTACGTGTTTTGTTTAAAAAAACTATGTACACATATAAGGCTTAGTTATGACACAACTTGCTTCAAATTCCGTGAGCAGACTTTGAAGAAGAAAGCTGAAGATCTCCTCTCTGATAGTAGCCATGTCCTCTTTCTAAGGAAAGAGCTGATTTTAAAGTATAATTTCTCAAGGTTATCTTGAAAATGTTGTGGATTATGTGTCCACAACAATTCAAACCACCAAATACACTGTTGGAGGCCATCATCTCCTAACACATAGCTTTTTTTTTCCTTGTATTATAGATAGTAGTTTGATAGACAGTTAAAATGCATTTAGGTCTCACATATAAATTTTACCTAATTAGATTTTAGTTGTGTTTTAAAGTTCATATCTGAAAGGTTTAATGATTTGTTTAGTATAACCAAAACTTGGCCTTGCTCCGCGAGGCTTACGTAACTAAGTAAGACAAAAAACATTTTTTCCAGAGGCTAAAGTATCTCTGCTGATGATACAATTATATCATTGGATGGGCATCCATTGGCATGTGTCAACATAAATAATGAATGGTAAAGAACAGAAAAATAAAATAAAAATAAACTATAAATGAAACGGTAAAGACATGAAATTACATGAAAGAAGATATTTTAAAATTATGCGATAAATAGTTAAAGGTATGTACATATTTCCATTTCTTAATTCTGAGCATTTCATTACACTGTACACTAATGATAATAGCTACACTTAATAATATGGTAGAGAAAATTAAAAAATAAAATATGAACATTTACCTCAAAAACAAACTTGATTTTCATTTAGGAGATTTTACAGGTTATGCAAATAAAATTTGAAAACTGTAAAATAAAAAAAAAAATATTTTTATACTAAAGATGAAAATCACCTTGCACTTGAAGTAATCTGAATGCAAATAAACAACAAATTTTCTAGTAGAAGTAGTAGAAAAATTCAAAATGAAATATTTTATTTTTCTGGAACTATATACCCTAAGGAAAGTTCTTGTCATATTTCAAACAAGTTCATCCACAAGTTTTATTTTTGGAACAAAATATGATGAGAATGACGTTAGATACTTACAATGTAAGTACCCAGTAGTCCTAGGATTAAGAGAAGGCCAGCACTAGGTTTTAAACTAGGCATGGAGGATAAGCAGGAATCCTCTACCTGCTTTACTCATGATAGTCCAGCACTGGGTACGATCTGGATCAGGCCTTGTTTAAGATAAAGATCACCACAAGGATATTTTGATTGGTCTTATGGAACACCCTAACTCATGGGTGACCACTAAATTAGGCTAGGACGGCCCTCACTGTGTAGATTTAGTATAAGTTTATCCTGGCAGACAACACTTGCCACTGAGCAAGATCCTGTGAAGTATGAGAGGGCCTTAGATAAACATGGTAAAAAAGAAAAATGTACTCAGTCAGAGATAGTATGAGTTGTGGAGAATAGCAACCATAGGCAGTCCATAACCTGACGAAGAAGGAATAGCCAAATGACATAGTATGCGACAAAGGTTTGAAGGGCCATCCACATGTCAGCCCAAACAACTTCCTCCAACGGATGAAGGAAGTGAACAGCCAGAGTGAGATGGTAATGGGAAAAAGAGATCAGGAGAGAATAAAGGGTTTCACAGAAAGAAGAGACAGAACTGGAAACCACAGGCCAAATAAAATCAGACCACATGGACAAGACAGAAGCAATCAGGCCGTAAGAGAATAAAGATGGGAAATGAAAGGGAGAGATATAGGTGTGAAGGCACTATTGCTCACAAACACAGCAGTCATTTTAAAGGGAAAAGTGTGATCCAGATAAAAAAGAAATAAGAGCAATGAAACAGAAAGCGAGAAGAATCAATGGCATACAAGTCATAACTTCAACTACCACAGGTGAAAAGGAAGAGAAATTAGATTTTAGGGGAGAGATGGTATAAGGAACAGGAAGACAAAGGAAGGAAGTGTAAGGGCATGGTAAGCAACATTAAGATCCCAGACAAGGATGGCAAAGGAGGTGAAAAGAACATAAGAGCTAGTAAGGACCAGGGAAGAAAAAAGGCAATGAAAATGGGAAAACTGGAAAGTAGTAGAGAGAGTCATCTGCTAACCAGCAATAGTTCAAATAGATAAGCCTTTGCTGAAGAGCTATGTGAATAATTCAGGAAGATGGGAAACAGAAGGATGAAAATGGGAAAAAGAATGACAGTGGTCAACAGCAAAAATACACCATTTCTATTGAGCCTCCATGGGAGAGGACAGGTAAACAGAAGTGACTACACAGCCAGATGGAAAAGTATGAGGCTGAAAAAGAAAAATGTGAGAGAGCAGAAGTGGAAGAAGAGGGAGGATGTCAGAAAGAGTGCCATCAGATGGAGAGAACATGAGGGAGGAGATGAGTGGGGGTGGGTGGGGTAAGTATAAAGGAAGAGGTTGGACCAGTCCTTACCGAATATATCCACTTCTAGTGCTGATGGATGTGGAATAAGAGACAAGAACATAGGAGAAACCTGGTGTATTGTAAGTGGCAAAGGCACTGATGTGAGGGATGCCCAGATGAGAGCAAAGCCATTTAAAAACACAAGGACAATCTGCAACAAGATTCAGGGCACTTGGAACATGACAGGCCACAGTATGGACTTGTAAAGAACGAGCCCAGAAGAGAAGGTCAAAGATTAGAAAACAGAGAGAGAATGAGCAAATGAGCACCAGGCAATTAATATTGGATACCACAGTTAAGTTGTCCAAATGGATCATTACCAAACTGCCTCATACAACTGGAGAAAATGATCCAAAGACCAATGAACTGCTAAAAGTTCCAAAAGGTTGATATGGAGGGTTGATTACTTTAGGTTTCATGGACCCAAATTCTAGAAAAAGATGAGTCAGAAAAGCATCACGAAAAATATGAAGATCCAGATGTGAGAGAGAGAGAAAGAGGTACACCCTTACTGTTCCTGTCAAGCTACCAGGTAAAATCATTATATGGGAAAGATGGGTAAGAGAAGACAAAGGATAATGAGAGAGGTTTCATATATCATGCAGAGTCCATTGAAAAAGACACAAGTGGGCACATCCTACGGGAATAAGGAAGCCCAAGTCTACAAATGAGAAAGAACCTTTTGCACAAAAACATAAGGAGAGGACAGAGAAGTGGAAACCAAACTCTCCCTTGTCCATAAAGGAAGTGGATAAGGCCGAGCCTTGCCGAGATGGAGATTGAAGAACACACCCAAGTGAACCAGATATTGAGTGGATGCGAGATGAGAATTCTCCAGCTTGTCTAGCCAACTAGACAAGCTGCCTCCCATAGGAAAAGAGTATGGTCAAAAGAGTCCTGTTGAGATGGAGCCAGTGGTATAGTGCTAAATAAAGAAATTAGAGAACACATTTTGAAAGTGTTACTATCATAGTATTTATTATGTCACCTATACATAAAAACACATATTTCAAAAATATTAGCTGTAAATTGTAATAGTAACTGAAATCTACATTTGAATTCCTGGATAACTTACTAACAGAACTTCCAAACTCTGTCGACATTGTTCCTTGGATTTGGCTACTATTGTTCGTGTATCAGTTGCTGAACGATGACACTTAAACCATTTGCATACATAGTCATCTGGTTTCCAGTTTTGTTTTTTAGTGAAACTTTATTGCAGAGATGTTTGTTCTACACTCACTTTTTAAGGCCACAATATATTCCTTTTTTTGTTTTAGATAAAAGAAAGTTTAATTAAATAAAGAGATTCTTGGGCAACCATAGCCTACAATACCTACATTGAGCCTCGGTTCTCAGAATGTCATTATATAATTTCCCATCCACTTTAATTTCATCCACTTTAAATGCATACAGTAATACAGTCTTCAACCAATGTTGAGGCAAGACGCAAGTGAGCAGGACTGCCAGATTTTTTCTGAATGCCCAATGTTTTTATATCTAAAAATATTTCAACTGCTTATTAAGGGAAGTTTATATATATATATATATATATATGATGGTAGGCATTGTTTAGTAGAAATATATAATTTTGGGAGGCTAAATTTTTTCTTATTTCTACTTTTAACTTCTTTTTAAGGGAAACTGCCTTCCCACAACTGGCTGCAGACAGTGAAAGGCAGTAAGAGTTGAGACATTGTGGGTGTAAGCACTCAACTCTGTATCCTTAATGAATTTTCCACGATTACTGACTGGTTTCTCATCTGCTTTTGGGTGCTATTACCATAGGCAATCTCCATTATGACTTTTGGATAATGACCCGGAAAGTGCAAAATTTCTTTTTTTTCTAAATAGTTCATTATTGTTCTATAGTGCTGATCTTTATCACCTATTGACAGTTGATATAGTAGTTTTGAAGGTGAAAGGTAGCAATATACCATGTACTAAAGCTATTGATTACAGATTCTATATACATTAATGATTACTTACTTGCAGATAATACTTTGTAAACACCGGTTGAACTTGCAGTTCTCTGATGAATAATCTGCCTCTAAGGTGATTAGCAAGAAGGCTAAGTTAGAAATACTTGCAAAACCAAAATGGGCCATATCTATATCACTGGAAACTAAGCATTTATTGGTTACTGTGTAAATATGGTTAAATAGGAAACAGGATGTTCATAGGTCTAATACACTTTTACACCTATACCACTAAATCCCCCCCCCCCCTGAGAGGATAATGAACATTCAAATACCTAACAAATTTATTGGATCAGACTTTGTATACAGCCATATCGTAAATATTTTCTCTCACTTTTATATAGTACTTTAGACAATGCTTGTTGCAAAAACTGTACTACAAATAAGCTAATAAACCCTACTCAACTGTGTGTTTGAGGCTGGGAAAATTCTGGAAATTGTGCCACATGAGCTTATTTGCTATTGATGGTCATGTAAACAGTCTAATGCCAAGATTGGTAATTCATTGCTTTATTTTCGAAAGGTTTCTACTTCGACTGTTAAATAAACAGAGGAAATAGGTGTGAAAAGATTAGAAGTAGAAATTATTAGGAGATTTACTTTGAAATTTCGTGGTCCGTACTGAAAAGTCCCAACAGTACTATCCATTTTGTTTCGTCAAGTTTCTAAATCAGCTGTTAACAATATAATAACAACAGAAAATAAGTGAAAAAAAGTGAGAATTATAATCTCTGCCATAAGTTGTTTGGAACTTTGCTATCAATACTAAAAGAACTACACATTTTATTTTGCATTTTGCAATCATTTCTTTCATTATACTTTGATTACTTGCCTACAACCTGGATAAAAGGGTTAATGATTCATTCTCATCTTTCTTCTAGGGGTGGGCAAAACTTCACAAAGTTACAGATTTGTAAGGTTGGATTTGTTCGAAATAATGATAGGACAGCATTCCGGCTAAAAAAAAAAAGTAAAGGAATGCCATTCCCACACCACTGGATGGAGCTAAAAGAAGCCAGTCATCAGTGACCAAAAGTAATGTTGGGATACTGGGGAGATAGGAATATAAAGATAAGCATTGGAAACATCGACCTTGGTCATTTAAAGCCCTGGAGAAAAAGGCCATTGGAAGTGTACTAGGGAACAGCAAACAGTGAGAAACACTTGATAGCATCCTAGGCCAAAAGGTCTGACAGTCTCAGAAAGATGTTGGTGGGAGACATGATCCTTTAACTCTTTCAGCACAGGCTTCATAACTATTTTGTGCTTGTTATAGCTGTCATGCTATAACTTTTCAATTATGAAGCTTTCATACAAAAAATATCAAATTTTTTTATTAAGTCTGAAGGTTTGTAAAGCAATGTTTTCTCATGTTTTTTTTTTCTTTTCGCATTTTGCCTATCTATCATGCAAAGTAATTTTCATTTTAAGATTAAAAA